ACACACATAGCTGATGACATGCATTGCTTACTATGTGCATTGAATAGGAGAGTGAGGCACAGAAACATTAATTTGCCCAAAATATCATCCCAAGAAGGTGATATAGCTCAGGGAATTGGGCTCCAAAGCCCCAGCAGATAATGGAGTAAATTAAAAGCCTTTAGAAGTAAATTTAAATTCTTCTTATTGCAACTTAAGTGTGCTTGTTGCATGAAGGGAGAGGGAAGGCACATTTGGAATTCAAAACATTCCTTTGTACATCAGTCATCCAGTCTGTGGTGGGCCCTGAATACATATCCTGAGTTAATCCCAGTGAGAGAAAAAACAGTAAACATCAGATTCTTGATATTAGAAAAATTAATGTACACCCATGTGATGGTATACTGGTAGTCACTTCTCATTTTGCTAACACAAACTATGGAATCTGAAACCATGGAGATGGATTCAGTGGTGTGACTCTTTTTTTTTTTTTTTTTAATTAACATATAATGTATTGTTTTCTTCCAGGGTACGGGTCTATGAGTCATCAGTCTTAACACAATTCATAGCTCTCACCATAGCACATACTCTTCCCAATGCCCATCACCCAGCCACCCCATCCTTCTCACCCCCTCCACTCCAGCAACCCTCAGTTTGTTTCCTGAGATTAAGTGTCTCTCATGGTTTGTCTCCCTTACTGGTCCCATCTTATTTCATTTTTTCCCTCCCTACCCCCAATGACCCCCTGCCCTGCCTCTCAGATTCCTCAAATCAGAGAGATCATATGATAATCGTCTTTCTTTGATTGACTTATTTCGCTTAGCATAATACCCTCTAGTTCCATCCAAGTCATTGCAAATAACAAGATTTCATTCTTTTTGATGGCTGCATAGTACTCTTATGTGTGTGTGTGTGTGTGTGTGTGTGTGTGTGTGTGTGTACACCACATCTTCTTTATCCATTCATCTGTTGATGGACATCTGGTTCTTTCCATAGTTTGGCTATTGTGGATATTGCTGCTATAAACTTTCGGGTGCATATGCCCCGTCAGATCACTACATTTGTATCTTTAGGGTAAATACCCAGTAGTGGGATTCCTGGGTTGTAGGGTAGTTCTATTTTCAACTTTTTGAGGAACCTCTTCACTGTTTTCCAGAGTGGCTCCACCAACTTGCATTCCTACCAACAGTGTAGGAGGGTTCAGTGGTGTGACTCTTGGGAGCAAGCGTACCTAAATTTTTACCCAATCTCAATTCAGCTTAGCAGTTATTCTCTATTCATCATTCTCTCTTCAGTAACTTTCAAAAATAGCTCAAAGATGTCACGTAAATTTTTAATGTCTTGATTAATGGAAATCATTAAACATTTCTTAATTTATAGAAATCATTTAATGTAAAACTTATGCTATGAATTTCATGAATTCTGAAGGCCCTGGAAATATGTCTCCTGGGAATGTGAAAACTCTAATACAGTGTTTATGTCTGTCCCATGCTGATTATAATCTAGTTTGAGGGGTCGAGTCTTACCATTCATGCATGCATTCTTCAGTCAGGTTTTGAAGCCTTAATGTGTAAAAGCACTGTCTGGAAAAAGTTACATAGTAAATAACTGAAGATGGTCTATAATTTAAATGCTGTAAGAGTTGCTTGAAGAGGTGAGCAGTAAAGGGAAAACTGATATGGAAGATATATCTCAGATGAGTCATGTGGGGAAGTTCCCTTTTGCATCTCCAGTTCTTTAGATCAGAAGTTTTCCTCTTCATATCTGTGGTCGATTTCCAGCTTTTCCAGTATATACATCCATTAAGGCAGTTCTCTATTCTAAAGCTCTTCTTCAGGATATCCTTGGCAAGGAAATAGTTGTTATTCAATCTATTGTTTTTATTATATTTAGCGATAGGAAAGAAGAGATGCAGAGCTGGGCTCCCCCACCCCAGGATTTTCATAAGAACCTAGAGAAATTAACAATTTAAAAAAAAAATCACAGAACTGGAAGTGGTCTAATTGCCAAGGCTTTCAGAACTTTAAGAACACTTTTGTGTAAAAGATGTCAGAAATACTTTTAAGTTCTACAGTTACTGAGGGCTGATATTCTTGAATCATTTGTTCTTTAATTCAAATGAAATCAAATTTATGCCCTAAGACTCTTCATTATAAATGGCAAGGTAGCCCTGGAAAGACCTTTGATTTGGGGTCGGTGTTCAACCAGGAAGGAAGAATATTAGATCCCACAACACGCTACTGCTCTTAGCCAATGCAGAGAGATCCTTACTCCTGGTTATGCGTGATGACCTTTGTTAGTACTATGTGTGAGGGCTCAGTTCGTTAGTCTTCTGGATTAATGAGGATGACTTTTTAAAATTTTATCAAATAAAACATTTCATCTGGATGAGGACAGGAAGTTTCCACTCACTCGGTTTACAGTGTCCTAAGTCTTTAAGTGACTGGAAGCAGTAAATCTGAGAGGTCCAGAACAGAAACAGATATCCCATAAATCACTTAACTACTGCCTTGTTCAACTGCTGTTATTACTGAATTCCACTGCACTAGGTATCCCCAAGATACAAAAGATCAATAGCCAGCTTTCATTTTACTTGTCCTATAATAACTTTTATGTCTTTGAATAGGAATGAATTTTAAATACTTATCCTCAAGTATATGTTACGTAAATGACTTCATAAAGACCAGAAGCTTGTCAGGGAAAATGCTGTTTTCACTTATATGCTCAGTGCTTGTCCTTGTAAGTTCTTAAAGAGTAGGCTGAATGATTTCTGAGGGCTTGTTGCTTGTGGGTATTCTCTCAAAATGTGTCCCTTGGTAGATTAAGTGTCACATCAATCTCTAGCTTCTTCAAATACAATATGGATATTGTATTTCTTTCCCCTATGCAAGCCTTGAAACTTTTGTCCTAAGGTGCCCTTAGCGTTGTCAAATAGTTTTTAATTTCTAAGTCATACTTCCTATATGCAAACTCATTCCTGGGTTTTAAGTGGTTTTCCACGTTTTATTCTTTCACACTCAGGGATAAAGGTGGCAAATCTGAACATGGCTCAATATTTAAATGTATTTATGTTCTTTTCTTAGAGATGACCTTTGCTTTTATGATGACCTCATCATAAAAAAGCTTTATGGTCATCTCTTGGAGATTTTTGTTTCCAGCAATTCCTCTTTTATGTTTCGGCTGACACAGTTTACCAATTTTGATTATTTAATCTGAAAATATTGATAGGATATAAAAGTCATTAAAAATCCTCCTACCTGGGATGCCTGGGTGGCTTGGATGGTTAAGTGTCTGCCTTCAGCTCAGGTCATGATCTCCAGGTCCTGGGATCTAGCTCCATGTCCAGCTTCCAGATCAGCGGGGAGTCTGCTTCTCCCTCTCCCTCTGCCTCTCCCCTGCTTGTGTTCTCTCTATCTTTCTCTCTCAAATGAATAAACAAAATCTTTAAAAAAATTAAAAAATAAAAACAAAATAAAATAAAATCCTGCTCTTATTTTAGAATTATGTCAGTGTCCTGGGATCAAGCCCCATATCAGGCTCTCTGCTGAGCAGGGAGCCTGCTTCGCCCTCTCTCTCTTCCTGCCTCTCTGCCTACTTGTGATCTCTCTCTGTCAAATAAATAAATGAAATCTTTTTTTTTTTTTAAAGTCAGTCACCAAGAAAGAGCTAGACCTTTGAGACAGGACAGACATAGACTTTAAGTGGTATAGTAACTGAATGTTTTAGTTATGGGGCCATAAAATTCTCAGACATGAAGAACTCTATTAATATTATGATGTTAGCAGAACTTCACCCGTACTCTAAGACAACTATCTCATTTTTTTATAACCATTCTTGCCATTGAGTTCAACAATCAACAATGTTTTGCTTCTAGTTTTTGGCTCCCAGTGAATGAAGGAAACATTCTATTTATCAACTTAAATCACAAAGTGTTTCTCCCTTAATCTTTTCTCTCTTTAAAGTGAAGCTCTATGTAGCCCACATCAACCAAAACCATTGTTTAGTCTTTCAAGTCACAGAGAACTGCATTCTGTGACTTCCTGGAATGCCATGGAAACTGATTATGTTCTATTAAAGAAAATAAGACCACACAACTCTCTAACTCTTGGTATGGTGCTAGTGGAGATTTCCTATCTAAAATTTTATGAGAGACTGTTAATAAGAAAGTCTGTCCAGGTTCAGGCCCTCCTATATCTTAAACATTTCCTTTTCTTCTTTTTTAAGTTATTATTTATTTATTTGAGAGAGACAGCATGAGCAGGAGGAGGGGCAGAGGGAGAAGGAGACTTCCTGCTGAGCAAGGAGCCATAGGGAGAGGCTCCATCTCAGGACCCTGAGATCATGACCTCTTCTGAAGGCAGCTGCTTAACCAACTGAGCCACCCAGGTGCCCTTAAGCATTTTCTTATCCCAGAAGAAAAATGATGCATAATGTCAATATCTTTCAGGGTCAGATGGCAGAAATCCAACAGAATTATTTTATATTATAATGTAAAGTATTAATAATGTAACATATTGATGTGTGTGTATGTGTGCACATAATACAGGTTTGTGTCTTACATATTGTTTATATTCATGTAGTATATTTATGTTTCATTCTTCTTTCACAAATGAAAATACATTTATAAATAATTTTTGAGAAGTAATGGTAAAATACTTGGATGGAACATAAGGCCAAAAACAAAGAAACAAAAGACAAAAAATACCAAAGACACACCCAAAATAGAAGAGAAAGAAAAGAGGAACACGAGCCAGGGAAGGGACTTGCTTGTATTACTACAAGATGGTAAGAAAAAAAAAAAAAATCCAGGATTTGTTTATATGCACAGATTTTTTTATAGTTTCTTAGTGACAACTAAGTTTCATGTACATTTCACTTCCTTTTCTATACCTTTTCACTAACCTATTTATTGACATGAGGTCATTCCAAAACATTTTGTTGAAAACAACTGTCTATTTAATGTGTCCCTGTGATGACTTTGTTAGATATAACCACCAGAGTGAGATTTCTTTGTTTTTCAGAATCTGCCCTTGAAGAAGATTCCGTGCAAAGCCACTGCACCCTCAGGCTCCTTTTTTGCCAGAGACAATACAGCAAATTTCTTATCCTGGTGCCGAGATTTAGGGGTAGATGAAACGTGTCTATTTGAATCGGAAGGTTTGGGTATGTATTTCCTTCAGAATTTTAGCTGATCAAATTGTTACGTGTCTTTGTCAGTAAAACTACCTACACTTTTTTTATGTGATATCATTTCATAGATTGGTAACTTTAAAAAATTCAAAGTGTTGTCAGCTTGCAGGTTTGTTGTAAACTGGAATCTTTGAAGGTAGAAAAATGCAAGTCCTTTTACGGTTGGTCATTTTGTGCATGAAAGTGTAGGGATATAAGTAGCACAATTCTAAGCTAAAATCAAATATATATAATGCAAAATGGGTGCTGCTTGGAAAATGGAGTTTTACATTTTACCGCCAAGCTCTGGCCTGGACTAGAAAGGGAGCTGTATATGCTCCAGCCATAAAGGCACTATTGTTTTTTACCTCTACCAAAGGCTGAAACACCATTTCCTGTAAAGTCTAGCTTTGTTGAAAGAGAAGTTTATTTATGTATCTATTTTTAGTGAATTCAAAATCAGGTAAGCAAGCAGGAAATTGGAATAATTGAAGATGGAGAAATAAAAGATAGATACCTTAGTGTCTAACGCTACCCACATAATTGTGGGGTTCTTGTCTTGTTTTGCCTTATGATTGAATATTGGCAAATCCACTTCCAGACCATAGAACAAGCTTTTGTATTTCCTTGGGACAAAACATACGTTGTTCAGTGTTTCAACATTACTTGATATGCTACTGTTAAATGTTCAGTCCTCCTGTATCCGTTCTGCCAAGAACAGCTTTCATATGGAGAGTATTGGAATTAAATTCCTATTCTAATGAAATAGGACTGAGTGAAGAAAGGAGACCTCGGTATGGGAAGGAGGGGAGCCTTGGTTCTTTTGCTTGAGGCTTTAAAAAATCAATTCACAAAATCACATAATACCAAATATTAGTATCAAAGAAAGCTGAGCGTCCTTCAGAGAGAACAAGTATACAAATTGCCTTCTAAACAGAATACCCTTGCCCCTAGGCCTCACAAAACAACATTTCCCAGCTGAACCTAGGAAATGGATGGTAACAGCTAAAATCTTACTCATTTTATGTGCTTATGGAAATTTGTATTTCTGCTAAGAGCAGTGAATGTGATATGGAAAAGATGGCCATCAGATTTCTGAGAATTCTCTCAACAGAGAAGAAAATTATGTGAATTTGCACTAGGAGAATATTTTATACCTGAAGGGAAAAATAAACTAGAGTAATTGCCCAGGAGCCTCCAAGGTACAGTAGGGTGCCCCTCCACTGATCGTTATGTAAATGGACTTTGATAGCTCTTACTATTTCCTCACATTTAAGTAAACCAAACTTGGTGGAAGAGGTGTGTGTATGGAGATAGTCCTCTTTCAGTCTGATGGCAACTTCAGAACTGGATTTTAAGTTTCATGTGTCTAGGAAACTGTATGAGTGAAGAATTATAAGAAGGGAGTATGATGGAATTTTTTGCAAAAAAAAAAATTTGAAAGATCAAATGAACGGATGAATGAATGAATAATAAATAAATTCAGATCTTAGATCTTAGTCACAAGGCGTATACTCTTCATGTGTGGACAGACAACATCATGATTTAAAATTCTCCAGTCCCCTGCATCCCTTAAGGAACTGCTACACGGGGAAAATGCCTTATTATCTGTGAGTTTGCTGATTGAACAGGTTTTCATTTAAGAAGCATCTTTTAAGAAACAAAACAGATGAACACAGGGGAAGGGGAAAAAAAGAGAGAGGGAAGCATAAGAGACTTTTAACCACAGAGAACAAACTGAGGGTTGCTGGAGGGGAGGTGGGTGGGGGATGGGCTTAGTGGGTGATGAGCATTTAGGAGGGCACTTGGGTTGAGTACTGGGAGTTATATGTAAGTGATAATCACTAAGTTCTACTCCTCTAACCAATACCACATTATATATTAACTAACTAGAATTTAAATAAAAATTTGAAAAAGGAAAATAAATAAGTATCTTTTCCAGTAACTACCATAGACCACAGTGGATGACTAGAAGCTGTCAATGCGAAAAAAAATCTTGAATCAATTTTCTCATTGCCTCTGAGTTCTTCTGTTAGTTGAACTAATAAAGCTTTCAGTTGGAAACCAAAAAGCTTGGGTAGCTTTTTAAAACCCCATTCAGATAAGTAGTGCATTTTATCTTGAAACAATAAAGCCTAAAGCCACTGTATAATAATAGTCCTGATACATAAATACATACTCAGCAGAATATAAAATTATGTCAAGATGAATGTTGAGATGGCCTAGTTCTTCACTCTGTTTGAAAAAAATAAAAAAACACCTGACTTCATAAAAAGAAAGTCCTAGATAATTTATACATAATAGCTACTGAGTATTTGGTTTAAACATCTTTCATTTTGATCATCTTCTTTATTATATCTTGGCTTATAACTTGCAAAGAAACCAAGTTTTCAAGTAATTTTTAATCCTCTCAGCAAAAGCAGACAGTTAGGCTTTCTGGTTTGTTGCTCAATGAAAAGAGAAATTTGAAATTTCTGCTGCTCAGAATAGGACATGAGGTGAGGTGAGGTTTAATACCCCCATGGAGACAGCAGAAGGGAGCCAATATTATAGCATCGACTTCAGGATTATTTGGAGAAAGAAAACAGCTGTGCCCGTAGATGTTAATCATAATCAAGAGGAAGGACAATGAGAAATTCCATTTCTCCAAGTGGAACCCTTTCTTCTTGGATTTTTTGTATGATTCACTGTGGGTAAGGAAGTGATTGAGCTAGGGCTGATGGCAGTGGTCTCTGTGTTGCAGAATTGACTTTCTCACAACAATAACACTGTGTACTCTGCTTGATGTCTTTTCACACTTCACTTTTGAAAGGGAATTTAGGGCAAGGGTTTTTCTTTTTTTTCCTACCTCAAGATTTCATTTCAGTAGCGCACAAGATGAAGTGCGTCCTTTGTGTCCCAGTGTTTTGAACAGCAAATAAAATGAAAAGATGCCCTGATGAAGGGGGAAAATCTATTTGAATGAATGATAAAGTAGATCACTGTCCCCAGTGTGTATCAAGAGGCTTCTGTCTTTAGCTGTTCAAAGGTCTTTGCCTGCACAGAGCATCTTATCTTTGTGGCAACTGATAGGCTACCCTCTGTTGCAGAGCTCTTTTGTAGTTATTTGCAAGGGGATCTTGATTCACAACTCGCTCAATCTGTTCTCTTTCAACAGCTAATGACAAGAAATCTCCGTGGTGGGGAAGGTATGCTAGGGAGGAACTGCGGAGCATGGATAGCAGCTTATCCATATGCTTCCCTCCTGTTTCTTGCCTTTTGGATTCTTGGCAGATAACTTTCGATGCCACACGACACAATCACATACAGAGTATAACCTGTAGTTTATCTTCTGTGAAATTCTTGATAATTTTTTCTCTGAGAAATGTCAATTCTCAGATTGTAAATTCACTATATCTCGAATAGTGTTTCAAAAAAGAGTCGATAGAAAAACGGACAAAGGTCATGAACAGCCTTGTCGTAGAAGACATAAAAAAACCTAGGATGGCACATGATGTGGTGAGCCCCGGGTGTGGTACACAACTGATGACTTCATTGAACTCTGCAACTGACGCTAGGGATGTACTCTGTATTAGCTAATTGAATTTAAATGAAAAAAAAATCTAATAAAAATATAAAAATGTTGGACAGCTTAGCAATAAGGTAAATGCACATATAAGCTATGAAAAATTAGCAAAGATTGAGAAAATTATATGCTTAGTGTTGAGTATGTAGGAAAATAGGATCTTCTATACTTTGCTGAAGAAAACTGGAAATTGGTATGCCTTCTTTAGAGGGCAATTTGACATTGTGTATCAAAGACCTTACAAGTATTTAATGTTCTTTTGTCAAATTGGTTTCTAAAATTTTATCCAAAGACAGTAAGTAGTGGTAGGCATCAGAATGTCTACTGAAAATTTTTTTTCTAACAGTAAAACAAATGGAAATGAAAGGAATCTATAACATTTAGTGATATCTTAAACCAACTCGAGTCATCATCCTCAGATACCAACCAAAAATAATATTCTTGAGACTATTTAAGAATATAGAAAACTCACAAAATGCTATGAACATGAGGCCACCCATTTATATCTAGTAAACAACAATAAAATATATTCCCAGAATTTGAAGGAAAGATAAATAGTAATTACATTGTCAATGATGTCATTTTCTTTTTCCACTACCTGTTAACAAAATTGAGAGAGCAAACAGGTGTGGCATGTAATCTAAAGCGTGAACAATTAATTTTCTTTATATTAAGATACAATTTGAACCATTTTGTATAGAGCATTATTTGTTGACCTAAAATGTTACACATTGAGAATTATAATGGCAATTTTGCATTATTGAGGTTAAACGGACATTTCAAGGGACTGTAGACTTTTACACTGCTGTAAGACCAGATGATACAGATCTTTGTGTGCTCTGTGGAACATGCTTTAACACTGTGGGTCTACACTTTATGCTCAGCAATAACCCCCACTGTTCAAATCAGGCTGATACATATGCCAATGACTAGAAATCGGTTTTTATCATGTCTCATAATTGATTTCATTGGATTCCTTAAAAATATTTAAGATTGTTAATTGTAAATTAACAATTACCATCCTAATTGTAAATCCTGATTGTTTAATCAGTTTAAAAAAATGAACATGAATGTTTCCTTGAATTTAATAGTATATAGTTTATCAGCCTAAAGGCAAAATATTCTTCTGATAAATTTTTTGTAAGAAATGAACTTTACTTTTAATAGTGGAGTAAAAAAAAAAAACATTTAGAAGATTTCTAGTGTGAAAGCAATTTCTGTTTTCAGGTATAAAAGTTAATAGAATGTATTAATAGTCTCCCTAATAGTAAATATAATGATTTTTCCAGGATTAAATACTTTAATAACCTTTTCTAACATAATGCTGAATATTTTGATATGGCCCATTTTTATCATTTAAATTAAGACCAAAAATCTATGATTTATTCTCAATCTTAAAAAGTTTTAGGTTATGAATCCTAAAATTGAT